GACAATAACAAACAAAACGGTACAATAAAATGCACAGTAGTTTACTTGACTGCTAAATAGCAAAGGGCACCACTAAATGGTGGGACTACTAGCCATCTCTCTCTCTCTCTCTCTCTCTCTCTCTCTCCATTCCCCTCCATCACCAATACATCTTAAAAAGTCTATTACCAGAGTATATTGTAATGGCATTATGTGCGCCCAAAAAGTAACCCCAAAATGTAGCCTGAACACTCCTCACAATCGCTAACCAATTCCTGTGCCATTCATACAAAAAGCCGTGTTATTTGAGACTTAAATAGGCCTTACATTCGGTGCCACTATATGTATGAATGAGTGACAAGTATTTGGAGTGCAAAGAGCTTTTTGAATCACTTTTTAAGCGATTCTTTTGATTAGTATTTTTTGGGCACATTTTTGGCCAAACATTTTCAATTAAGCGTTAAATACATGTTAATCGCTTTAATCGCTAAAATCGATTTGATTTCTAATCGTTGAACAAAGTTTTTAAACTAAATATTTGACATCAAAATCATGTCTCCGATGTTAGCACTCGGATAAGACATTGAATTTTTTAAGGCTTACTATTATATCAAATAAAATAAATAAAACAAATCTCGAAGATAATGGCAAAACATTTGCTGTAATATAAGGCTAACTGTTATTCTGGTGACACATTCGCCTCAAACCCATAGGAATTGAATAGATATTTAACTTATTAAATAAAATAATTAAATGATTTACTCTATGAATAGGTTTATATATACTGTATATTTACTGAATATGATTGATATGTTTATAATCAAAAATGTTTTAATCAAAACTGTTTTAAATATAAATCATTGGCTTAAATATTAACTCAAATATTTGCTAAGAATTTATAATCAAAAAAGATTTAAATTTTCCAATTATATTTTATAAGTGAATAAACTATTACAATAAATAAACTACTTTTTAACAACTGACCATGCACACTAATTAAAAGCAAACACATACACACACACCGTGTGAACGGATAGGGAGTGGGAACGGGAGTTAAGGGCAACGAGAACTTCAAACTCGCGATAATAAGTATAAATAATTTTTAATGTAATTTTAATTGATAAGAGACATGTGTTTCTAGTAAACCCTGACAATCGCAATGGGTGTGGGGTCCCCCCCGCACCCCAGGAACGGTAGATAAAATTCATGGCCACAAACCTAAATGGAGGGTAAGGTTGACGCGATTGGGGTATTGGATGCCCTCGAACATGGTCTCCGACTGCCACCACGTCTGCTCATTATTGTTGTTATAATCCGTCAAATACATGGCCGGGTGTTGCGACGACCTATTGCTGGCGTCGCACAGTTCGCACGTCTTCTTCGACGAGCCGGTGGCGCCCGTCTGCACGCAGTACTCGAGGGGCCCGCCGGACGACTGGCCGCACGTGTTGGTCGCCTCGACGGCCACCAAATAGGCGGCGTTCACGAACTCCGGGACACACCGTTGCGGCCGATTGCGTGAGTCGTAGCACCGGCTCGACTCGTCGTTTGTGGCGGCGCCGGCACCGGCCAGCGATTGGCCCGGCTGTTGGTTCACACCCCCGCCCGTTCCCCCGATGAGCCGATTGTAATAGTTTTGATCCGTCTGGTGGTGCTGTTGGCTGTGCGCACATGTGGTCACTAACGCACAGTATATGGTGTAATAAAATAGGAATATAACTATCGGTACAACACTTTTACGGCGATCACCGCCGCTATTGGCGTTAGTCTTGTGGCGGTTATCGTTGTTATTGTGGTAATGACTACTAGTTTTGGCGCAAGTATTTGGCGAACACTTTGGTGCAGTTGTGGAACAGTTTCGGTGATGTGTTGCCGATGAGTGATGGCGGCGATGAGGTGTCGGCCACTCTCTCGGCAGGTCTGTCGTCGTCGTCAGGGGTTTGGCATTAAAATGAGAAATGAATATGAAATCATTGTTTGGATACTAATAATGATATGAAAAGTAATGATAAAAGAAATGACAAAAAGTTTTTTGTGAAGTGAAAACTCGGAGTTAAGGAGCGATAAGAGAAACTATAATAATATGAGAGGCGATAACAAAATAGGCACAAAGTTTTAGCCCATATAATAGATATGTTTAGCCGTAGACACGAGAAATAAAAGTTTTCATTTAATAACAATTCATTTGTTACATACCTTTATATATAAGTAAATCCCGTTTTGGCGACAAATATGTGACTTCTAAATGACTATCATTTGTGGCGAACGCACTGTTCGGGCGCTCAGTGGACAGGGATGCCATGGCTTAGCCTCACTGTCCGTTTGGGGAGTTTTATGTACACAAGAAAACATACAATTCTTGGAAAATAGTGATTATATAAATAGATATTTAAATAAAGGCATTGAGAATAAGGACTAGTAGTATGTGTGTGTGCGAGTGAGTGAGTGTGAGAGAGCACTGGTATGTGTGGTGTAGAGGACTGGGAAACCAGTGATTGTAAAACTGGAGGCTAAATGAAAGTGTTGAGCAAAAACTTCAGACTAATTCTCAGTGAGAATTATGTCTCTCTCACGAGAGACTGATATATAGAGCTAAGACAGTGAGAGAGAGCGAGAGAGAGACTGAGAGAGACTTCCAGAGAGACTGAGAGTGAGAGCACTGTTAGGCCACACCTAAAAGAAAAGAGCCGGGAATATAATCTGAATGTGTGTGTGAGTGCGCTATAGTCAGGGGAACGGTAGCTCTTAGCGAGAGCACCACATGGACTCTCATTTGCGAACTCGAAACACATGAGAGACACCAAAAAGATCTTTAGTCCCAGAGTTTTGTCTCTCAAACTGTCTCTCAATGTATGCATTCATTCATTCACTCCATTCGTACGGTTTCTCGCATTCACTGCTGGAATCGTATGGAGAAAAAAGTTTTGCAAACTTTTCGCAACTCTTTTCCCGTAGTCTATGACGACATCTATTGACTCACAAAACTCGCTGTAATTTTAGGTTTTTAAAAATTTAATTTGATATAAACTAAACTTTTAATTAATGTCTAAATTAATTATAATTAACATTAATGTGTTTTAAAAAAATTTCAATTAAATTTTGGTTTAAAGTTTTGCAAACTTATTACGGACTCTATGTTCGCCATACTATTGCAATGGCATTGAATTGTATACTCATTGCTATTACAGGAAACTATCGCTATCATAAAATACTATATAAATTTATTAATTAACTAGATCATTTATAATCGAGTCGCAAATATCACGAAAACAACATTATTAAACACTTATAAAGCAATTATAAGGAAAATGTGCCCGATTATCATACGATATATTACGGGTTGCCTATAACGGGGGGTCGACTGTACACTCATGTCATATGTGTGTGCATTGAACGGGTGTTTCACTGTATTCGTCACCAAAACAAACCATTCAGTCAGCGATTATCTCCTCATTTGTCGCCACAGTTTCGGTGGAGATCTGATTGCCGACCAAAACCCGCACCCAATCAGTGGACAACACACCCGCGCACCCAATCGGTGGCCAATCGCCCGCACAGACCACACAAACCACACACACAATGATCGACAGCCTGTTCATCATTAACCAAACCGGGTATGTATGGGACAACTGGGATCAGTTGGTGGTGATCATAGCCTATACTAATTGTCTAACCATTATATTCCTCGACATATCACAGCGACATATTCATGGAGAAGCACTGGAAGTCGGTGGTGCACCGGTCGGTGTGCGACTACTTCCTGGAGGCGCAGCACCGGAACCAGTCCTCCGGCCATAACGTGTCACCCGTGATGGCCACTCCGCACCACTACCTCATCTCCATCTACCGGTGCGGCCTATACCTGGTGGCCGTCACCCACAACGAGATACCCCCGCTGTTTGTCATCGAATTCCTGCACAGAGTTGTCGACAATTTCATCGATTACTTCAACGACTGCAACGAGTCTCTCATTAAAGAGCATTACGTTGTGGTGTACGAGCTCTTGGACGAGATGCTGGACAGTGGCTTCCCGTTGGCCACGGAGTCCAACATTCTTAAGGAACTCATTAAACCGCCAAACATTTTGCGGACAATCGCTAACACAGTGACCGGACGCACGAAGTATGCCATTAGTGTTGTTTCGCTCATATTTACCACATTTGCTTGACTTTTGGGATCAATTCGAGTGACAATTAATTGATGTTTATTATTATCACTCGTTTGAGACCTATTCGAGTGATAATTAATTGATATCTTGTTATTGTCTCTCTTTGTGAGACCTGTTTGAGTGATAATTAATAGATGTGTTGTTACTGTCATAGCGTGTCGGCGACCCTACCCTCTGGTCAGCTGTCGAACGTCCCCTGGAGGCGGACGGGCGTCAAGTACAACAACAACGAGGCCTACTTCGACGTGATCGAGGAGATCGACGCCATCATCGATAAGAGCGGTTCCGTTGTTTCCGCCGAAATTCAAGGATACGTAAGCGTCGAGTCGTTTCCCTCTCTACTCATTAAGCGATCGTTTATTTTGTGTTTTTTCTTTTGATTTCTTATGCTTTCGTTTAATTAGAGATTTGTTATTGTATTTCACATATACTTAGCGTTTAGTCGAGATTAGGGTTTATTTCATTCATTGAAATGAATGTTATTTTTAGTGTTTTTTGTTTTGTGCGAAAATAATTACCAATTAATGAAACACTCGTTTTTTCTGAACGCCTCGAACGGCGCCTACAGATCGACTGCTGCATCAAACTGTCGGGAATGCCGGACCTATCGCTGTCGTTCGTGAACCCGCGGCTGTTCGACGACGTGTCGTTCCACCCGTGCGTCCGATTCCGGCGCTGGGAGTCGGAGCGGGTGCTGTCGTTCGTGCCGCCAGACGGCAACTTCCGGCTCATGTCCTACCATATCGGCGCCCAGAATATGGTGTCGATTCCCATATACATCAGACACCACATCTCGTTCAAGGAGGTGGGCGCCGGTAAGATCGAGATCCAGATCGGCCCCAAACAGACCATGGGCAAACTGGTAATGTGTTTGGCATTTGCATTATGTTTTGGGGGTTTATTTCCGGTGTATTTGGGTTCATAAACACACT